CTATCTGAACTCTTCATGATATCATAGACTAAGACCATATCCTCTCCACTTGCTTACCCCATCTCTGCACCCTTAGGCCAATGACTTTTTTAGTTCATCTTTATGCTATAATAAACAAACATATAGTGAACTCTGCCATATTTCTCAAACTCATTGTGGTGGTAACAATGACATTTGAGAATGACATTTTAAAATATTTTACAATGCTTTTATTTCTAAAATAATACAATAAAAACCACACTAGTTTTAAAAATATATGCTTAGTTGTTTTTCCTAAAAACATACAGCAAAACACATGCCTCTTTAGTTCTATAAATTATTTTTTTATATAGCCACACTGAGGTTGGCCACAGAAAAACAGCACCCCTTGACCAAGAAACGATACTTTTAGATTTATATGATGTTGCATTCTATCAAAAATTTATAATTTTTAAAAGTCGAATCACTTTATATCATTAACCAACATTAACAACTATAATTGAAAAACTAAGAGAATCAGCTTTAGGCAAAATATTGGCAGTTACATAATGCCTCTTACAGATCTCCTGTAGTTATTCACTTATGCAAGCACCCATGTCTATGAAAATGGCTGAGAATTAAAATCAAATAAAAAGTTGGACAACATAATATAGCATAAAGCAAATATTTCTTTTTTTATTCCAAAAAGGCTTTCTCATAAACAAGTTGATAATTTATGTTTAAAGCACTGCAAGAATTTTAATGTCACAAGAAAAAAAAAGAACAGAATAAATCCCATGGGTATGGTAAGATCAGACTCCAGTCACTTTTGGAGAAGCTAATACCATGCATCCATTTCTCATGTTTCTTCAGGGGACTGTGCTAGTTCACAGCACAGTGATTTCCAAACCTGTGAGTGCAATGTCAAGGAGCTCAGCTCATGTAAGCCAATGTACACCAGTCCATGCTTATCCAGTCAACACAGAACTCAAGTTCTAGCTCTCTAGTCTCAACCTACATGAGTTATTCTGTCTAGAGCAAGACTGAACATCACATGTAATACCATGTGGCATTTCAACACCTGTGTACCGTATAGGGGCTAAGTCTGAAGAAATGAAAGGAACCAAAAGTCTGAGCAAAAAAGGTTTCTTAAAAAGGTTTCTTAAATCAGCAGTGATTGGACCTCCCAAGGCCAGGTAAGCTACTCTGGCTTCTGTTTGTTGCATTTTACTACTGGTAGGGCTCTCATATTCCTTTTTTTCTAATCTTTTGGATTTCTCATACTCCCRATTTCCTGAGTTTCAATTCTCTCAAAAATATAGAAAATACTGTGACTTGCCACCTTTTGTGGCTTTAAAAGAGGTATCTATATTGCCCCCTCCACAGACACTCTATCAGAGACTGGATCCAAGCAGGGCTGTGGCAATCATTCTGTGGAGAATGGACTGCGCCCTATGAGAGGGAGGGTCTGTTACCCCAGCTGCTGAAGGAAGACTTTATTTCCCAGGGGAAATTCTAGCACATCTGGGGCAATGCAGTCCTTGTACTTAGTTTTGGATTCTCTTCCTAGTGACAGACATCTGCTCTTTGGCAAGGATAAGATTAATAATTTGTTGTTAATGCCTCATGAACATACGCTGGCATGGTAAAACAAAACAAAACCTCTTTCTTCCTTTTTGAAAAAAATAACATACAGTTTGTGTAAATTAAATTTAAACAAATAACAGATCAGGAAGGAAATTCTGAAGTACCACTTTGGAAGATCTTATTAAAAATTATAATCATTTCAGATCCTGAATAATTTTAGATTAACCACCTTTAAAATTTTCCCATTCTTGCTTCATTAAATCATCATGAAAGCAAGACAATATATGTTTTCCTAATTCTGAGACTGTTAGATTGAACATATCAGTGTTGAGAAATTCTATGCAGGGGGAATATGTAAATAAAGGGACGGTCCTGTGAGATTGCAAGTTGTAAGAGATACTATCGGAAACATCACCATCATGATGCCTGTAAAGCCAGGGAAATCTTCCCTTTGATTATATGCTCAGTCAGGAATTTTCCATCTAAAACACGTTTAAGTAATATAGTTGTGTACTATTTAGTAATCACACCTAAAATATTMAAACCACTGAACAATGGGATTCCTACAAAGGCCTGAGAAATAACATCTTTCATCGCCTCTTTCAAGTATTATTAAAGAAATCCAAATTCATTAACAATGGTTCAAACTCTAGATCATCTCATTCAAACCTTCACTTTAGTGAAGGAAACAAATTTAGGGGAGTAAGTGGTTTGATCCAGGTGACATAAATGGTAGATGGAAAGAATATAAACTGAGAGTGCCTTTAAACACCCAGCACTGCTGAAGCATTTAAGATTTTATATGGAGTTTCACTTAGTAGAAAACACACACTTCAAATTATCAAGGTCAGCTTGAGCTTTTATTTCAACAAATTTCATAAATCTATAGGTCTATATGTCTCAGAGTAGAGGTTATAGTTCTTCTTCTTCATAGATTTTATAATTTTTTGTCAATTATTGTATGTAGTTTATGCTGATTATGCATATGTAAAATCTTTTAGGTACTAAGGTGGTGTTCTTTGCTTATTAAATATTTGTGACAAAATTGAGATAAAGGAGGAAATATAGCAGGTGTTTGGAGAGGAAACTGAACCATATAAGTAAATGTCTCTAATATATAAATATTCCAGCCTTGGAACTAATGTCAGTGTCTCATTCTCGAGGACACATGGATTAGGCTCTAACAATGCAGACAATTCTGTGCTGGGCACCCAGATATTTTCAACAAACAGAATGCAAATCCATCTGGAATGTATCTTCTGTCCTGTAACACTAAGCACAAATTTCCCATCACACCAACCTGCAAGTGTTCAAGACTTTGGAACTTAGGGAGCAAGGAAGAAGGAATGGGAATGGTACAAAGAGCAAAGCGAAAGGAGGTAGAGGGAAAAGTGAATAAGCCCCAGATGTATGTAAGTCCACTTCAAAAAGTTGAGTCCTAGTAAAGCAGTTTTGAAAAAAATCACACTAATATTCTTTCTTACTTTCACATAAAATATTGAAAAGTCATGTCTTTAGGTAATTATACAAAATTATGTTGGACCAAAAATGATTAAATTTATTTTTCAATGAGAGAATTAAAAAATATATAATTCAAAAGAAAATTTCTCAACTAGACCAATAAAAAGAATTGGTTTCAGTTTTATAATTATAACTAATAAGTGATATGGAAATGTTCCTACATTTCCTTCAGCCAAGACATCACAGTTTGGGGAACAAATGTTTTCTAAGACTTCTAGAAATCTTAATAATTATCTGTGACTGCAAAATTTTAGCATTTGACATTCTAATTCAACTAAAAGCTGTGCAAAAATTTCTGTGGCTAAATAATTCTCTAGAGAGGACACACCTCAGATACTTCACAGCTGGTTAAGTTCAAAGGTGCTCATAGAGCAAAGTCTATTCTAAAAACATAAACCCAACTGGGGCTTGGGCAATGTTTTCAAAAGAATTGTTACACTTGTGGCAAGGGATAAATATTAGAATGCATCCTTCTTCAACAAATTAGATCTATCTAATCTAAATCTATCTGTCAATAGATTTAAATTCTCCATAACTATTTTTACTTATGTAACTATAAAGCTCTGAGGTTCATACTGTGAAATGGGTAAAGTGACAGCATTGACTAGAAATAGGAAGAGGGTGCTAACACAGGTCCTGCTCTGGGTTTCCTCCTAGTTATCTTCCCAGTTTTCTTTGTTTTAATCACATTACACATCTGGACACACTGACTGTTATCTCATCATGTGATTCAGACATAATGCTATTTTTCTCCACCGGGTAATTGTGAGTTATGGTTCTGTTACATACTGACTGACCTTCTGAGTAACCTGTTGTGAGTGGAACAGAGAATATACTTGAAAAAAAWATATATATGTAATTTTTTATACTTGAAAAATATTTGCCCAGCCTCCCCTCWCTGGCTGCTACATAAGAATGATTTCTTCCTAAGTCACAAATCTATTCAGAATCCTAATTAAATATTTACAAAGTACTTTAAAAACCTCTCTGAATGTTAATATGAAAATAGCAACCCACATTCATTTCAATAAGCAGAAGTTTTTGTTCTTCCAAATTAATGGCCTCTGGGTTTTATTCAAATCAATTCAATGATTTGAGAAAAAGAAAAGAAAAAAAGTTGAGTACCTACTATGTACCAAGCTGTGGACCAGATGTGAACTAAGAAAAGTAAACTTTCAAGAACTAGATGATCTGTCAGAAATTATATTTCATATTAGGTAATTCATACCATTTCCCTCTGTGCTTAAAAGCAAAATTAGATGAAAATACTCACCTTTTTAATTTTTTTATTTTTCTGCATTAAGTTTTTACACTGCTCCTTAACATATAACCCTGTATCTAGTTACATAAAGATGTAGCATTTTCTATTTGGTAACATATTATTTCATGTTTTATTCCTTTGGTTTTTGAAAGTATTTTAGCATGAAGGTTCCATTTATTGTATCCAAATATAAAAATAGCATCAAAGTCTTTTTGCAACTCCCCAAACACAGTTAGGGAATAATGATCATATGCTAAAAAATGTAAAATGCAATTTGTGCTGTGCCCCATTTACTACAAAATCACTACGAACAATGCATTTTGTACAGTATATTGCCCCAGGGAAACTAGATCAGCATCAGGAATGAATAAAGAACATTGCATTTGAAATCAGCTAATTCTGCTTCAGCGCTTTTAAAAACTATTTGTTATGATATTACTTCCTGTCAAGCACATAATGTGATATTTTCCTCAATAAAACTAAATAGTTGCTGTAATTTCAGCATCCCTCATTTTCCACTTTTTAAGCACTAAATATTTAAACAATGTAGACCTGGAAGTCTCAAGCCAGTCATCTGATCCATGCATCTTCTTGCCTAAGGTACAGAAATGATCCATGCAGGGGCCTGTTATGTCACACTGACATACATAGTGGCAGCTGTCGAGGTCCTTACCTGCCCACAAGCCAGTCCCATTCCTCTCTCTCCCATGCCATGTGGACACGATAAATTTAACTCCAGGGCATCTGCTCCGGAAGCCTTTAAGACATAGGATGAAAATGAAAGAAAAGGCAAAGCTTTATTTGTATACCAATATGCTTTCTCCATTGATAATAAAGATCACATTTGTGCAAGTTTAACTTTTCTGTTTTCCATTTTGCAATCTCTGAGATATCTTCTAACTCTATCAAATTAAGGTATATATAACAACAACACAATAACAGCAATAAAAAGTGCTTAGAAGGTGCCACTCATTGCTCTATATATTCTCCATTTGTTATTTCTAATTCTCATAATCCTTGTATTATTATGATACCTATTTGACAGAAAAGAAGAAGCACAGGAGGTTCAACAATAAGCCCATTCTTAAATGACACAGATTTTAACTCAGAGCTGTTTGACACCACATTTATTCTTTCCTAAATAGCTTCTATTTTTATAGAAACAACTCTTACTCACTCTGGATAATTAATACTAGGAGTAGACATACAAAGAAAAATGCAGTAGGCTAGCTAGAGTGAATGTGTAAAATTAAAAAAAATGTTTTTAAACTGAAAATCAATTATATCACCTTTAAAAAGAGTCCATGCTAAGAAACATGAATTATTAATAGATTTGTCTGACTTTCATATCCAATAGAAATCCTTCTTATTTAAATCACTAATTCCTTAGTATACAAATGAATCCTGTCAAAATGAACAAAATAGTTCAGAGTACTTGGAGAATCTTAGAATTCTTGAAATGTCTTCTGTGAAAAATTTTAAGAAAAAGAAAAACACTTTTTTAAAATTTAACATAGCAATTTGAGGGATGTGGGATAAACTAAATGATTCTAAAATTTCTTTAACATCAAAATTCCTTTTTAAGTAAGGCCAATTAGAATCCTGAATCAACTTCAATAATATTCTATTACCTCATGCAAAGGCTTTTTATAAAAGTTCGTGGTTTTCTAAGTATACCAGATCTTTTTTTTTTTTTTTTTAAGCCAGAAACGATTTCTTCAAAGCTTTTGGCCTAAAGATTTTCACTTACTTTTTCTTGATATATGAATTTTAAGTATGAGCTCAACAAATTTAAAATTACAGCTAGCTATATTCATATCCATCTATTTTGGTCTATTTCCTTTTTTTTTTTTGGTACTGGGGACTGAACGTTGGGGTGCTTTACCCACTGAACTACAATTCCAGACCTTTTTTTCTATTTTTATTTTGAGACAGGGTCTCGCAAAGTTACTTAGGGTCTGATTGAATTCCTGAGATTGGCCTAGAACTTGTGACCCTCATGCCTCAGCCTCCTAAGTCTTTCAGATTACAGAGATGCAATACTGAGCCCAGTTTATTTCTCAGTCTACTGTCTTGTTCTATCTTTCCTCATTAGTGAGTTTGCTTTCTTTTACGCAGAGTTTTAAAAGCCCATTTGATCATTCAGCCTGTTTTCTAGCATGGCCTCAAATGGTTTCTTGCTACTCTAATCCAATTTTAAAATGCTCATGTTATTTGAAAATTACTGAAACCTCTGCTTCTTTCTTCCTGTTGGCTTGATAGTTAGCATGAATAAAGCACAACCCTCTGGACTCTGAGCTGGAGTCCTAGGTCTGCTGCAAAGGAACTGGGGATGCTTTGGGCAAGTCATTAACCTTCCTTGTCTTCAGCTGCTCAAGTGGAAACTGCAGATAATATGACCTGTCTCAAAATCATGCCATTTGGGAATTACCAGCTTAATTAAGACCCTACACTGTAATTATATAGCATACAACACTTTTCTCATTATTTCTTAGTCATTTTAGGTATTGCCTTTAGATATTTTTATTTAGCTGAAATACAGAATTGAATAGCAAATCAATTCAACATTTGGATTAGATAAACTCAGGTGGCATTTGTATATATACTTATATTATGCATATTTCATTGCAAAGTCACAGATACTACCCTAGTAAATAATAATAGCCAACATTACTTGAGTGGTTACAGCATGCCAGGATATTTTATTGAGCCTGTTATCTGTTTTATCTTCATCCTCAAAGCAACTCTTAAGAGGTAGGATATATCATTAGTCCCATTTTACAACTGATAAAACCAAACATACAATGTCCAAGTGATTTACTCACCATCCCACAGTTCATAATTGGGAGTAAGGTCTTGAACTCAAGTATTGTGAACCCAGAGCCTGCACTGTTACCCACTATTATAAATTATTAGGAATACTTATTCCATGCTGACATTGTTATAGTGTGTTAAGAAAGACCAATGTCTTCAAAACTTGAAATAAAAATCCAAATGTTTTAAAACTACCTGTCCAAAACCAAATCTTATCAGGTATTAATTATTAAAATTTCCACAATATTATACACATGTACACACATCAACTGACCAAATACCTTCCCGCCCCCCCAAAGGGCTTGATAATGAGCATCTAGGCCTCAAAAATTGAGACACTGCTGCTCAAGGTGTCCAAGAGAATAGGAACATTCATTGGGCCTATGCTTGAATATTCTTGTCACAGGATGCACACACCACCTTAAAAGGCAGTTAATTCCATTTCCAAGCAACTATAACCATTCAAAAAGCCTTAATTGCTGAATTAGCATGAAATGTTAAATTAACTGAAACTGGGCATGCATTCTGATTCCTGTTAGTCACAAGCTTTTTAGTTTAGTCACTTAGCCCAGAAATTATTTGCCTCACCTAAGTGATTGTCAAATAAAGTAACCTAGAGAAGGCAGTGACATAGGAAATATTCTAATTTCCTGCATTATTTATTTATCATGCATGTATCTGTATGAAGTGGTATGTATATGTTAATTGAGTGGACTCTGGAACCAGATTTCATGGGTTTGAATTCCCCCTTCACCACCACATTCATGCTGTGGGAACTTGAACACAGAATTTAACTGCTTTTGCCTCAGCTGTTCATTTCAAAAAAGTGGTATTAATTTACAGTGTTGTGAGTGTATGTAAATTTAACAAATATAAATGACTTGGAACACTTGGAATGAAGTTAGTACTACAAAAGTTGGAGCATATCTTATCTATGTATCATCTATCTATCTAATTATCCATTCATCCAACTACTATTTCTGGTTTACCTATCATTTGCCTTAATCTGTAAGGATTTAATGTAACTCAAAGCTTGTCACCTCCAGCCTCCAGCCGGGTGTCTATCTCCCGACTCTCCTTACTGTCTGTGCTCAGGGACTTATATGCAACTGGTTCTACATATCTCCATATTGTAGATTTCTGTCCACTTTTTATCCCAACCTATTGAAGATTCCCTAACTTTTACACCTATTTAATTTAATAACATATTGCTAGCCCTGATGGAGGTAAAAATTAATGAGAACCTGGCATTCAGTGTTTTATTTAGACTCTACTAACAATAGCATAATAACGTGTTTGTGATGCCTGTTTCTCTCCAAAAACCTTCCTTGTTCCATCTTCCCAGTAATAGTCAGACTCTTGGCATTCCCTCATCAGGTCCCTGGCTTAAAATCTTCAGCTGTGGATCTTAATCACCTCATGTTCCTTGGGGCCAAATAAAGTGTCAGTCTTCCTGTTTATTCTTTTTTTTTAATTTTTATTTTTTTAGTTTAGATGGACAGCATACCTTTATTTTATTTATTTATTTTTATGTGATGCTGAGGATCAAACCCAGTGCCTCACATGTGCTAGGTAAGTATTCTGCCTCTGAGCTACGCCCCAGCCCCCATTTAGTCTTCCTTTGTGTCTGCTACATAGAAATACTTGAGCTCTGTACTTCTATTTTACTTCATTCAATGAGTATTTGTTGGTTGATAAAGCTCTGGGCTTAGAATTGAGGATTTAACAGTGAGCTAAACAGGAGCATGCTTTTGACAGGCAGGACAGGGTAACCATTAGTATTGCTCAAGGACACCATTATGAGTCATCTCTTTATGAAGGACCACAAAGGTAGATCCAGATTTAGGGGAGACAGAAGCTTAAATAATTTTGAAAATTTTATTGTTTAAAATTAAAAAGTATAAACACAAAATTAGGTGTGGAGCTTAGAAGTAGCCTGTGTAAGGAAGAGCTCTGAAAGTTAAACTTCATTAAATTTATGGTACACTGGACTCTGAACAGGATCTCAGAAAGTGTAGAACAGGGAGGTTTAACCTACCTACCCACAGGGTTCAGGGCTGAGGAAGAGAGAACATTCCAGGCCATTGGGTACAAAAAAAAGGCTCTTGGTTGGTTGTACGTTAGAAGAGTAAATGAAGGCAACAGGAACCAAGACAGAAAGAATAAACCCAAAGTGAATTTGGGCAGATATGTAGGGATCAGATGTGCAGGATTTATAGGTCATGTTATATGTTTTGAACTTAGAAGACATGAGAAGATTTTGGATTGATTGAGAGTAAGATTAAAGAAATTATTATAGATGAAGTTGGTTAATGTGGTAGTGATACATGTTGGGCCACACTCAATTTATAAGCTTCCCAAATTTGGTGGCCTTACTTGCCACCCAAGGAAGCCCCATTCCCTGTTGCTATTCTCACATCTCCTCTGTTAGCTTTCACAGTCTCCCTCAAGATGAGAGCTGGGCTTTATCACAGCGTCTATTGTTCTTGGCTAAATAGAAGCTGCAGGAGCACCAGTGCCTTGCCTGATCATGAAGATCTGACTTTTCTCTGCAGTTCTGGGTTTAGATGAAGCATCGCCCCAAGTGGTCTGGGTTCTGGCTTCCCTAGCAGCAGCCTAAATGGGCAGAGCACAAAGCTGAAAGTGCAGAAAAAAGTAAGGCTCTGTGGTGTGAAATAAGATCAATGAGAGACAGGAGACAGGAAGGAGCCAGTAAGTACCTCCTCACTCTTTCTCTTTAGCTGCTCTGAGGCAGGATGATTCTGCATGGCACTCTCTGTCCCACATAATTACCCAATCGGCTCTATTTCCTTGTGACATTCTGGCAGGGTCTATAATGTATCATTCTGTACTTGCTTTCCTTTCACCTCTGTCTCATTTTTCTTTTTCCCTCACTCTTAGTGCTCTGGGATTATATTCTTTAGTAAAGTTTTCTCTCATTAATTGTGACTCAGCTATTTTCTAGGCTAATACACAGTAAAAAAGAAATGGACTCAAAATCTATCAACACGCATTCAAGGTTTATTTCAGATCTAATATGATAACGTCCAGTAATGGCTCTAAACTGTGAATACATCCACAATGCAAAGAGTATCTCTTATTTACTTTTGTTTGTGTGCTGAGGAAATTTTCACATCATATGTGCTTCATAAATCTTTTTCTGCACGAAATTGGGATAAGCTATCAATGCCCAGAAAAGTAGAAAAGTCCGTGACCAGATGCCTGGACCAAGAAAATTGAGGAGAGCCTAATCATTCTACTGATTTTACCAAAAGTTTCACCAACCTGGTAAAACTTTCCTGATGATGTTCCTTTTTCATGGAGCTCAAAATATACAGCTATTCAAACCAGGCTGAGGAAGGTAGGAGAGGACATTACAAACAGATACAAGAGGAAGGCTGGGCATAGCATGGTGTCATTGCTAGTAGGAAACCAATCTTCTTAGGAGCATGAATATGATAAAGAAGATGGACTGGGCATACATTAACTTTTACAAACAGCACTTAGTTGAAATTAATGTTTTAAAAATGTACTTGGATGCATTTTTTAAAAATTACCCATGTAATCTTATATGTCTACTTGGAATAGTAAAATACCCTATTGGGCTTGTGAAACAAGCCAAAAATAGTAACCCAAATTTTAATTCTAACAGAGTTTCTCAGGCCTCATTCTCTCGATTTCATATAGCTGCATGTGTTCTGCTATGACACATGAATCTTTTTTGGTTTTAGATACAGTAGTAAAAAGTTGATAAGGTTTCCTCAACTCCCTATTATATAATTAAAAAATTAATCTACCATCAGGAGTAGGACTTCATGAACTTAAAGTGTACACATCACATCAAGTCATGTGCCAAACTTAAAGCCGTTGGCATGCTAGTGTGCTGATATGGCATCTCACTTCTTACATTCTATTTTTCTCAAAGAAGTGCATAAGCTAGGTAGTATAGTAACTTTGGCTTGAATTTTTTTTTAACGTGGGCTCTTCCATTATAAGAAAATATATTTTAATCTGCTTTGAAGGATGTATTCATAAAAACAAAACAAAATAGTGACTATAAAATATAATTGGGTGTCTACTGCATGAGCTGTGATGGAATCATGATGCTAATGCTGTCTTCCAAGGGGATGGGAAGGCCTGAGGATGTATCCTTCATGTGAAGCCCCCTAGGCTAGACCAGATTTAAGATTATAGGAATGTTTTTTTTAAAATTGACATCATGTACAGACCGACTTTCTTGATATGTAGATTGCAATTCTGAGAAGCATTTACTGGACTGTTTTGACTTAACAGAAAGTATACCTTTTGTTCCTTCCTTGCTCTTTCCCTACCTTTATCTCCATTCTTTTCCTCCTCTTTTTTTTCTCTCTCTCTAGTTTTTGCTCTAGAGAACTTAGAATATGATATTAAATAAAACTAACTAAAGAAAGATATAGAATGTGAAAATATCATTTCATTAGCTAACTTGTTTATAATTAAAGGCTTTTGACTTTTTATAAGTAAATTCACCCATTTAAAAATTAATGCTCATTACTGAAGAAAACAAAATTTTTAAGTATTTTATTCTTACAGAAAAGCAGAGAAGCATACAATGTGATAAAGTCATTCATCATAGTCARCTTAAAATTGGCAAAGCTCATGCCAACCACGGGCTCTGTGGAAGATTTCATGGTCAATTAGGTAAATACATGTATAAAATGGACCCGGCACAGAAGATCACGAAGCCAATTACTGATCATGTTTAATTTCACCCCCCTGAGTCCCAGAAGTAATTTTTCCTCTCAAAGCTTTAAAATATCCACATAAAATGTACAATCAACATTTTTAAGACTATAGAGAGTTTTATAATATTTTATAAAGCATGGTCAATTATTTCAAATGTCTTATTAGGTTCAGTCCTCTGTATTACTGAGACATTTGCAAAAAACTCCAGCTAAGAGTGTCTAGACCAGGTTCCCTGACAGCATGATGGACGTAAGTATATAGTTTTAAGTATGAATTTTTCTACTTGAAATACAAATTTGAGGCACATGGTTAGTTGTTTGCATTTGTGCAAGATTCGATTTATATTATGGAAAACCCGCTGACTAGTGTTCCATTCAGGAGCATTCTGTCCTACCACTTTATGCATGTCTGTATTCAAACGAGAACAGTATTAAATGAACCTTTTATATTTTAAATATTCAGGAGTTTTATATTCAAAATTTCTTCTCCTACTGTCAAACTAGTTTGCCTAAAGGCAAGGTAAGATCAAGTTAGACTCTCGAAGGTAGAATTAAATTTTATCATGGCATCCATCATAATATACAGTTTGCTTAATATGCAAATAGAGAGTGTATGGATTCAGAGAATAAAGGATTTTTAGGTAGTGTGTGAAATCCAAGGGGCCGCTTTTATAGAATAGATTCCTTTTAAATTTACATTTCCATCATTTTAATGAAAACATAGGGTAAACAAATTATAATAGAAATGTTTTAAGTTACATTTTCAATTCAATTTCAATTCTACTGTATTATTTTTCATGGCAGCTTTTCATTTAAAGCTAATAAAAATAGGAGAGAAGAAATAAAATAAATATATGCTAAAGAAACCATTACCTCAGCCTTTTTGGAGAGTTCCACCCAGTCATTTTTGTTGTAACTGCACATGATGCTAGCAATCACGATCTTTAAAAGAAAAAAGGAAAGAATATAAGTTCAAGTAATAAAAGTTATGCTACTGTAACAAAAATATATATTAATATTTGCATATTGTTTTGATTTAGATCTCCAATGTCCCCCAAAAGCTCAAGTACTGAAGGTTTGGGCCCCAGCTGATGTACTCTGGGAAATGGTAGAGCCTTTAGTGGTGAGACCTTGTTGGAGGAAGTTAGGTTACTTGAAGGAAAAATTGGGAACCCTACCCCTTCCTCTGTCCCAGCTTCCCAACTGCCATGATGTGAGCAACTTCACTTCATCACAAGCTCTCCACCATGTTTGGTCTCACCACTAATCCAATGAGACAGAGCCAACCAACCATGGACCAAAACCTCTGAAACCATGAGCCCAAACAATTTTTCCCCCTTTTAAGTGTTTACCTTAGATATTTTGTTATAAAAACAGAAGGCTGACTAGTACACATAAATACATTTTTAAGGGTAAGCAATATTATAAAATTAGATTTTCATATGTTGAAAAATAAACCATTAGAAATAGCAGGGTGTTACAGTAAGGCACAAACAGCATTTGGAGGTTCAGATGTGCATCAGAGACATCCTCATTTGCTATCTTTGAACACTTGGACAACTTACTTAACTATTGCCATCCTCGGCTTTCTTATTTCTAAGATGGAGTTAATAATACTGGCTTTGCCATTCTCAAGGGTGGTGGGATTACATAAATTTATTTATGTGAAAGGACTGTCTAAATCCTATAATTTCATAGAAATGTTTGTTAATAAAATTACTGGTACAGCTAAAAGATTTCAAGCTTTGGGACAGAAAAGAAATCAATATCTCTTTTAATCACAGCTTATTATATTATGGATAACAATACCTCACATGTTCACAGTGTGTTGTCATTATAAATTTTATTAAATGTTGATTATTTAAGTAGAGTCTTCCTATAACCCTGTTATGGAGAGTATGTAGGGTAGTAGTGACTAGCTCCTGCTCTGAAACCAGAATGTCCAGCTAGAACTTTACTGTGTGGTCTTGGGCAAGGAACTGTTTCTTGATAACTAGATAACTAGAACAACCTACTTGGAAAAGTAATAATAGAAATTGCTAAGACTAGCATTTATGGTGACTAGGCACTGTTTTAAGGGGTTTCACTTTGTTAACTTATTTAATCATTGGCAGTCTCATTCTCCCAATTTTTCACATGAAGACACCTAAACTAAGGAGCAGACAAGAGTCTCTGCTTTTGATATAAGCACTCAATTTTTTCTCATTTTTTATCAGTATCATTTAAAGATGATGAACTTGAGATGCCAAAAGTTTATGCCAAGCTTGAAGTCAGAGTCCAATGACAGATTGCACTAAAWGCCACATACAACTTTTTAATCTGTGAGTAGAAAAAAAACCACAAAGATATCTTATAAAGGTCCCATGAATGTCTTCATCAAGAGAAGAATAGAAAGTTGTGATCATTTTGGAGAGAGTTCTGAAAACCATTGGGGAGAGCCTGTCTTCAACAGTGGGTTCAATTTTCCTCCTGATAGACTGTAGACATCCCCCAGGGGCTGGGACTGCTCTGCATTGCTCATCACTTTATCTGCAGTGACTAGCATGGTCTTTGGCACATAGAAAGCACTAACTGAAAAGTTCACACATGAAATCACTAAAGGTTTAGGAGCAGGGGGTTGATTTATCAGCTTTCCCTTTTAAGAAGATTAAGCAGAAATGAATATTATAGGCTAAAGGAAAAATAAATAATTGGGGAAAACTGCTGGCAAATTATTATATGAACTGGAGTGAAGAATAATCAGTCTGGAGCAGGCATTGGTCTTATGATGGAAAAGGGATCTAGTGCCAAAATACACAAGATTGTCAACTAGAGGGAGCAATAGAGAAGGAAGAATGGAGGGATCCTATGGCTGACTGAAATGAGAAAATTACAAGACATCAAGCAGATAAATGTAGAACAATGACTAAATACTAAAGCCAAGAGAAACAGCTGATTTGGATACATTCTATAGAGAGAGAAAAAAGAGAGGTAAGTAAAAGAAGACAATGAATAGAAGAGGAATATTCGGCATGACTGATGATTGTTGGTTGACTTTTAGGTTTCATTTGTGTTTGTGTGTGTGTTTAGTAGAGGCTGCTGCTTTTGAAAATTTGGATAAAAACCTGAGAACATTTTCTCCATGGCTTTTTCTCAAGGGGCTAAAAGAGAATGAAGAGTCATATCCTAGGCTTCATTTGCAGGCAGAGAAGGGTTGCCAGCATGATTATGCAACCTCAGTGAGAGATGCTCTTTCTGCTGCTTCCAAATGATCTGAGAGCTCAGAAAGCTCTCTGCCACTCTTCAGCTGGAAAAGGGACAGGAGTCTAGGACTAGTCCTAATACCTCACTTACATGGAAGAAAGAAGGAGAAGGAAAAGAAATAATTAAGCAACCATTTGAAAGAAAAAAAATCAAGTAGAATGAAGACTGTGCTTAGGTGACAGATTCCTATTATCCTCAGTGGCCTCAAGACAGAGGGTAAATAAAAATAAAACAAAACCAAAAAAAGTCATACAGATTTAGTGAAGCGCAGAGCCCTGAGGCTTGTTGCTAGAACTTTAAGGGCAGAGTTGCATATAAAAACACAGACTTAAAAATATATTTTAGTTATTAGACACAAGTTCTCCAGTGGTAAAATTGATATGCAATAGGCATGTTTTTATAAAGTTTTATTGCTCAAAATAAAACAAAATTAAAAACAAAGATAGCACAAACATCCACCATCACAACATACACACACAAGAAACCTCTCTAAATGTAACAAAATTATCATCAAATTTACATTCCCACATAAACATGAAGTGGGCACTCAATCACCACAGTCATACTATGTGCATTTTCTTCTCCAGTGCCCTCTCAGGGTGCCAGGGAGGACAACAAGGAAGGAAGATTCTTCCAGTGGGTAGCAACCAGCTAGGCAGATGGGCTGAGCACAGAGCTCCACTGCCAGGGAAACAAGGTTTACCGTCACTGACAGCAGAATATGATACATGCTCCCAACTAGGGACTAACATCGTTCTTCTTTCTAAATGACAATTTTAATTTTGGTAAAGCTGTATTTGCTTCAAATTTATATTGATTATGCCAGGGTTGGTTAAAATCATCATCTTCCCTACAGGTTGCTTAGAATCACAAGGAGCTAACGGTTGGGTTTGATGAAGAAGAGAAATAAATATCATCCAGAGAATTGTCTGGACATTGACAGCATCAAATGCCTGGGACGCAAAAGCTCTATGGAGATTTTAAGGGGCCTCTTACTGGGGAAGGATTGGCCACAGGAGGGAGGCATACATTATGTTCAGCCAAGGCAGGTATTAATATGCCTTATTCTCCTTTTCCTGTCTTCTGAAAATAGATTCTAACTTTTTACCCATAACCTGGGAGAGAATCCCAGGGTGGGCTAATCACAGTGACTGCTTATTCTGCTCCCTTTAAAATCTTTCTGGAAAAATAAATGTTCTTTTTCTTATTGGTCCCTAAAGTAGAATGAAGTGTATTCAGAGCTGCAGGTGACCTCTGGCTGCTCACTTAACCACCTTCCTAAAAGTAGCTACACTTGGCTGAGGGAGGGGGCACAGACAGAGCAAAGTAGAGATTCAAGAAGGGGCCAGATCCACAATATAGTTGCATGTAAGGACAGTGTCTCCTGAAAATGGGTCTGCACATGATAATTAATAAATATTATTTTGGTCTTTGAAAAGTTTAAGTCTTAACAATTACTAAATGTAAATCAAAAATTGTCACTTTTGAAATAACTCCCTAAGCAACTTTTTCACACTCAAGTTAATTTAAAGGAAAAATAAACTTTACATATCATTTAAGAGATGATAATTAGTCTAAGCTTTCTAAATGTCTTTATAAAAAAAAAATCAAAGAATGGCTTGAAAGTTACAGTGGTATTCTATTTTAGAAGAATCAAAATGACCAAAAATTTTTTGACCTTATATTAAAAGAGATTGGAATTTTCTCAAAAAGTCAGGCTAAAATATATTAACAGTAAAAGGACACCAAGCATAATTTAATCTTTCTTTGATGATCAGAAAGTCCTTCAGTGTTTTGCTGTACTCAGTTTTTAATCAAGCAAGAGAAGACAGGTTATTTTTTTCCTATGTAAAAAGAGAACTGATGGATATTTTATATTGTGAAATATCATGCAATATTACAAGAAATGAATACCCAATGAAACATATTCTTAAATCAAAGTAACCTTTCCTTATATCAATATTTCACTTAATTTATGCCATTTCCAGTGCTCCATTTTTGTGCCTCATATTTTAAATCATTATTGAACCAGGTGATATAGAAAAGCCAAATGGTACATAGTTTTGAACTTTGTCTGCCCTCACTCTGTGTCTTATGATACTCAGTCTTGTGGGAGATCCAAACACTGTCAATTGAGCACCTACCTACTATGGTAGGCACTAAATGACACACACAAAAAACTTAAAGATGTTGACTTAAAGTCTTTGTTCATTCAACATTTAACCAATATGCCTTGAATACCCTATTTGTGCCAGTAATCATTCTAACCCCAAAATGATAAATAAAACAGAAAAGTCCCTGTTCTCCTGCAGCTTACATTTTAGGGAGGGAAATAGTCATAACAAGGAAATATAAAATATTAACAAGGGCCATTTCTCAGTCAATGTTCCTGTTATGGAGGGGTGAATGAATTACAGGTTTGTTTGAACCTTCTCAAGGCAGAGGCGAAACCTTTCTGAAAACTTGCAGTGGTATCTCGTCCATTAGAGAATGCTCAGTTGCTGGACGCCCTCAAAGAGAGTTCTGTGTCTCACAGAACTTACTGGTTCAAATAGCCTCAGGTTCAAAAGCTGCTGCTCATGGGTGGAAGAAATACCAGTGCAAGCTGATAAGCCCCAATGGGGCTGCTTTCCTCACAACCTCACTTTAGTTTATCTTGAAGAAGCTTTCTTACAATAAATCCTTTTGATGTTTAAACC